TTTTAATATTTGTTGATTAAATACTTTCATATCCCAACTTTAAGCTCCAGAAAAATAGGGACTATATCCATTAAGCCTACTTTATTCAGTACCCAGCTTGTTTAATAAAGATCACAAAAAATCAATATTCTAGGTCATCTACAATAAGCTAAGGGGAAAAAAATGTGTGTTCCCATGTATTATCTGGTCTGCTTTTGCTCATGGCAGACATCACTAATTGATGCCACTGTTCTCCTGATAGATGCAGGTCCAGTATTAAAGCTCCCAGGAAAACACTCCGGGGAATTATTCCTGATCTACAGGAATCATACTATAAACTTTTAGAATCAGAAAATTCTCTTTAGTCATTTTTTAACTGACTAAATTTAAGAACTTAAGACCCATAAAGGGAATGGATGGGTGCAGGCTCTGTCAATATTGGCCTGTCCTGAATCTGTGCCTAATTGCCTGGATGTAAGCCAGGAATTTCCAGGGTTCTGTCTCAAAATATTTCCTACATCAAGATGAAAGCTGCAGATCTTGGCTCTCAGTGATCAGCTACCTCTATTTAATCAATACTTGAAATGACATAGGTCTGGTTGAAAGTGAACACATACACTCTTGCCTAAGTCTGTCTCTTTAAACAAGCATTGCTATGTAAACAACACATTAGTGGGTTTAATAAAAAGGCACTGGGGGTTGAAGATACCCAAGGCCATCACTCTGCTAAATTGAACCTTAAACCATTCATGTGCTTTCGCTGGGGTCCTTTACCATACACAGGATTTTATGAAGTTAGAACCCCATCTTCCATTTTGCCACATTCGTTTCTTTTAAATGACGATCTGTGTGGTGAACACCATGAGATCTTAAAATTCCCTTCAACTTGAAGGTACTTGCTCTGGAAAGAGATCTCAGTCCACGGCATGTGGAGAGCTGTTCCTCGTGGACTGGCTGGAGGGCTCCATCAACCGGAACCCCAGCGCTTTCATCTGAGTGGGGACCAGTTAAATATTTATACTCCTCACAGGGTGCCCAAGCTGATAAATTATGATGTGGTGGCTATCTTACTGTGCCAACAATGAATGCATCGGGCAGAAAAGTAGACCAATGGGAAAGAAGGAAACCCCTTTACCCAAATGTGTTTTTAATTATAGTTTTAACAAAGATGAAGCAAAACCAGGGAAGTGCAAAATAATCACAAGGGTCTTACAAAATAAACATCATTTGTTCACAGAATTATATCCACTGGTGCTAAACCTGTTGTTTGTCCAAAATAATGAAACCTTCTCCTCATCAGCAATGCTTGTTTATGAACCCCAAATTAAATATGCCTTTGCTTTAACAACCAAATAGTTATATTGGGGAAATACCAAATATAAAATACATCACACTGGCATGTCAAGATTAAAATTAAGAGACCACTTGATCAAAGAGATTTATTAGTTGATACCTATTCACCATTGTGAATTTTTCAAATCACAGGTAGTCAAAAGCGATCCATTACTCTTTCCCGGGAAGGCATAATATCTCCTCTCATGTCATTAGTGGTGTTAATCATGGTCAAATTTCCCTGTGTTAAAATTTTATGGAAGCAAGCTGGCCAGATGTTTCAGTGGATAAAGATTCTTACTACCAAGCCTGACGTGAACTTCCAGAGCCTACGTGGGAGAAAGAGAGAACCACCTCCCAGAGGTGGTCTCCTGTCTTTCACATGTATACCTTCCCACAGAGAGAGAGAGACAGAGAGAGAGACAGAGAGATGTGGGAAGACAGCATGCAAGTAAATAAATGTTCGAAGTTTAAAATATCATGAAACCGACAGTTGCAGTAGCAGTTACTCTTGCTCTGTGGTTCTAGACCTGTGTGTGGGTTGCACGCGCACACAGGCAGAAACATAGACACGCATTATACACCTCTCCGTTTTCTCAGAGAACCTTTTTTCTTAAAATAGAGAAATAAAAACAGCCACACATATGTGAAATGGGCCCTCAAATAATGAAGCTCCGTGCACTCTTTGGTTGGCTTTATCTAAGCAATTAAATCAAGTATTCTGACCATGTCTGTGAACAGTCTGGTGGCAGATTTCTGCTTTCTGCTTGCTCCCATCCCACCATCCCATCCTGTCTATTTCCTCAATGCTTCTATCTGTCAGTTGCTGCATCAGAAATGTGCCACAGCTGGTTTAGGCAGAAAGGGGAATTTCCTGGAAGCATGACCTTTCATAGTCCATAGGGGCTCCTATCAGATATGCCTAAGCTTGGCACTCTCCAAGACACTGCTCCTTTTGAACACTGGCTTCTTTCTTGCTTCTTTCTGCAGACCAGTTTTGGTACAAGTGGGTAAAACAAATCCTATTCCAAACCTAGCACTTCCCAGTTTTCTTGTTAACTCCAAATTCTTAAATGGCCTCTTAGGGGACAGAAAGAATGTATCTTCTTCTTCCTTCTTCTTCTTTTCTTCTTCTTCTTCTTCTTCTTCTTCTTCTTCTTCTTCTTCTTCTTCTTCTTCTTTTAGAATGTCAAATGTTCAGGGCTTAGAAAAGGAATGGAGGGAAGGCAGGGGAAGGAGAAATATTTGAAAAATAATTACAATGTGCACAGACAGATCTGACATCAGAAAGTAAAACACCAAAATCATTATCCATTTCATTTCTCTTTCTGCCTCAGTGTTTCAAAATTAGTTAGTCTTTTTAAAATCTATTGCTTGACTGAATGAATAATTATGTCTGCCTCAAGTTTTGTTCATAATGCTGTTTAGGAGGACGGAATGGCTCATATTCTGGGCTGACTCAACTATTCAAAGGTAGGACAGAAATGTGACCTAAAATCTCAGAGAGTCTTGTCAGAGCTAGTATATGATATGGGGGAAATAGGAGTCCCCTCTTGGGGTTCTTTGTCTCATTAATGAAAAAAAAATGGAATAAAATGGAAGGTGAATACAGTTCATTAGGGTTTGAAATAAAAAACCTCAGGGCAAACAAGCTATCCATCTTGCAGCTCCTAGACTGAAAGGAGGAGAATGGAGATGATAAGTTGATATGGACATGAGCCACTTGGTGGCAGGTAGTCTTGGGGTGAAAAAGAGACTTTTAGAAAAGGAGTAAGGAAGCCAAAAGCTTTAAGGAGGTTAAAGGTATGCATAGGCTCAAGAGAAAAATAGAAGAAAAAATACTTAATACTAACTAGTATTATAGTATTATAGTTATTATACTAATAGTAAAATACTAACAGAAATGCAGGCAGACCCATGGAGACTCCAGGATGGCTCCACAGGGGTAACACTAGGGAACAGGAGTTCTGGGAAGGGAAAGCATGTTGTCATCATCTTAACATGAACCCACCTTCCTAGGGGTGAGCCCCCAGACAGGTACTTGATCTGCCAGACTAGATTAACCCATTAGCAGGGGGAGAAAGGCTTGTCTCTACCTAGAGGCCGATCCCATTCTTTACTATGATGTTAGAACACATACAAATTCTTAATAGCTAAGTAAGTAAATCCATGCAGGCTCGCTTCCTGGTGCATCAGAGTGCTCAGTGAGGAGAACAAAAGGCAAATACGTAAAGTCTGTCTGTCACCCTGGCCTCATCCCAAGGAAATTTCAGGGGACTGAGAGGAACCGGGAAAGTCAGCAGATTTGTCCACTCCTCTGAAGTCAGAACAGAGGGGAAGGAGGATGCTGGGAGGAGAGACAGCATTGCACCATGAACGGATGGGCAGCTTGGAGGTCTGTTTTACAGGTGACTTTCTAGGTGCCTGGAGGGGCTGAGGGAAATCAAATTTTTATTGTGTTCTCTAGTTTAGCACTCTGTGGTGAACCTTCCAAATTGGAAGATCAGATTCTGGGCTTGTAAAAAGTTTACTGCTTGAACTGCTCAAGGGAAAGGACAAAAGGCCAAGAACAATTTAAGGCAGAATGAGAAAAGGAGGACCCTTCACTTTTTCCATGAGCCTACTCCTAACTTTTGCCTCTCCTGTGCAGCTATGCAAAATATGTTGCACAGGCAGTAAACAAAATGGACCAGGTGACTAAGGACCCCATAGTGCTACCAGCATCCCTGCCTTTGGAGTTAGATCTCGCCTATTGGAGGGTGAGCTAGGCTTTAGTGAAATTGATGAAGCGGTAAGAGCAGGCTGGTTTGGTCATCCCACAATCTTCCTCTTCTGCTGTTTCCTTTGTTATCAGTAATATTATGAGGGTCTTGGATGAGGGGTGCTTGTCTACAGGTCTGGCTGAATTCATTCCATGAGACAGACAAAGAATTACATGTCCTGCAGACTAGTTCTACTCAGGCAGGAGAGAGAAATGACAGTAGTTGGTGAGGGAGGAGCTGCTGACTGACTGCCAGCTAGAGATTTGAGGTGGGGATGCATCTAGAGTGAAAGTATAGGGCTGAAGGTCTCCATCAGAAAGGAACTGCTACAGATCTGAGGTAGGGATGCCAACATTGTGCCAGGGAGTCAAAGTAGAGATCCTGATGATCTCGGAAAATAACGGTTACAGACCCAGATAGGGCACCAGTGACAGAACAAATGATCACAGAAGTCCCAGTTGAAAAACTAATGAATTTATTGTGGTTATCTGCAGGAGTATGGGTGAAGGGTTACTTACAGGAGCATAGACAACTCAAAAACAGTTGATCACTGAAAAGCCTACCCCAGTATGGTAACAACTCATAAAAACTATAACACTGGACTTCACTCTATAACATTCATGCAACTCAACAGATCTGATCAGTCTCTCCTGTCCCCAGTAGTTCTTACTATTTATATAACCTTAGGAGTCAAGAGGCCTTGATATTCTTTTAAGCTTTAGGGACTTCCTGAACCTTGTGAGTTGTTTACCTCTGAGTCTAAAGGAGCTGCCCCCTGTGATGGAATGTTTCAAGTTAGAATTTCCTGAGTTTTAATGAGCATCCCTCCATGATAAAAAAAAAATTTTTTTTAATTTGGAAGGCTATTTTCCAATGTCCAGTGGCCTCTGTTTTCTGTAAACACTCTTTTCTGTTTTGAAATTGCAGAGTCTGTCATCCCAAGTAGTGGAACGTTTCATGTAAAACTACCTAAGAAGCACAGCGTGGAACTTGGAATAACCATCAGTTGTAAGTAGAATGGGCTTCTGTTAAAATATGGAATTTAAAGATGCTGTAGAATTCTGTTGCCAGAAGGTTTACAGGTGTGGTAAGTGTTTTAGGTTTTCTTCACCAGTTTCAGAGTCACCATATGAAACTTTGGACCAGCTTTTGATACTCTTGATAAACTCTCTTATGAGGGAGATAAACTACTTCAAGTTCTCTCTGCTGTTCTATTTCTTCTGTAAAACAGACATGAAGGCTCGGAAGGGGGCTCGGTTGGTAAAGCACTTGCCATGTAAGCATGAAGACCTGCAGATATCCAAGCATCCATGTAAAAAGCTGAACACAGCAGCACACATCTACAGTCCCAGTACTGAACAGACGGAGGCAGGAGGATCTCTCAGACTTGCTGGCCAGAAAGTCTGGCCAATACATGAGCTCAAACTTCAACGAGAGATCCTGTCTCAAAAAATAAAGTGGAACGTAATTGAGGAGGACATCTGTTGCCAACCTCTGGCTTTCACATGCCTGTGAATAGAAGAAGAGAAGAGAAGAGAGGAGAGGAGAGGAGAGGAGAGGAGAGGAGAGGAGAGGAGAG